GCTGGAGGGGGGAGGCGGTGGGCGGGGCTAAAGGGTAAAATAGGGGAGCGGTTTCTTTATTTCAAATTTTTTTTTATTTAAGTTTTGCGCTGGAGGTTCTGTAAGAGTTGAAGAGCTTAGGACAGTTTTAAACCGCAGGCTCAGAGAAGCTTACAGATGCGCTAATCAGACGTTTTTATATCGGTTTGTTCCGAGACACTGAAAGGCTGGAGGTCATGTGCTGTGTCTAATGTTTAGCAGAATCTTGGTGAAACGAGGGCGATAGGAATGGGGGTGGGGGGGGGTTAGATGGGATAAAGAAGGATACGGCTGGAGGAACTGAATCACTTAAAAAGTCCTGAAAATAAATGTTGACCACTATAGTCAGAGGAGTGAAATCTTGGGAGAATTGGGGATGATTAACCAAGAACTGCAAGCCAGATTGAGTCAGAAAAATGATCTTTCAGCCAGAAATTCTGACTCCAACAACGGCATCAGGAGATGGTTACTTGCCCAGGACGAAGCCAGTTTATAAAAAGATTAGGGGTTACCAACATATTCCTAAATTCTCTGAATTTGCTGTGATTCCAGGATCGAAGAGTTGATTTAAACTCTTGGGCTTGTTTTTACTTTCAGCATGAAATCAGCTTATGGGCTCCATAAATGTAGAACCCACTGCGTTAAATAGTTATAGTTCTTCCTTTTGTTTATTCTAAAACTCATAGTTGGAGCCAGGGTGTTATATGGTTTGGGTTGGGCCTTGAACAACTATAACGAGTCAGAGAGCACTCGTTCCTGTCCTACTACAGAGGGCAGCTATGCAAGTACTGGCAAATTTTTCATCTTGTAGCTACTTTCTGACCAAAGAAAATGGTAAAGCGATTCTTTCAAACAGTTAAAAAACAGGGGGTGGGCTCTTGAACTTTGACATACTAAAGCAATCATCATTTAGGTAAAATCTACCAAGTCTTGCTGGAAATCAAGATTTCATATCCTCTGCAGTTTTAGTAATCACATAATGATGTCTTAAACCAGTAAATGGTTCTACTCAGTTCTCTATTCTTTGAAGAGTAGAAATACTTTTTATCCCAAAAGCTGTTTGGAGAATTAAAATTTGAAAAGAATTTCTGTTTGGTTCTTAGTTGTAAGTGCTTTACAGAGCTAGGTCTTTTAACTTCCATAAAAACCATGTCCTACAAACCCAAGTGGCTGGGGTCAGGATGTGAAATAAGACCACATAATAATATCCCTGTTTCTTAAGGGGGTGGGAGAAAGTAAAGGAACAAAGTATAACATTATGCTATTTTGGCAGAGATAGCTAATGGAATGTTTCATTTCTAAATCTGTAATTTCAGTAATTGTTAGAGACAGTTTTCCATCAATAAGTTTCATCAACCGATTAAATCCAATATGGACTTATAAACGCTTAATTTAATTTTGGATTGATTTACCACATTGTTTAAAATAGTTATCTATGGGTGGTGTTGATGGACGGGCTTTTGAAAAAACAAGTATCCTATGCTTGCTTGTTTCTTTACATTATCACATAACCTTATGATGATACTCTTAAATCACACATTTAAAGGACAGATCTTAAAGTAGCCTGTAGGATTATTTCTCCTTAAAGAATATGTAAAGGATTTATTATGAAATGAAAGTAAAAATAAATATAATTTAGAAGAAGTGGGTTAAGTTTCTGGTAAAGAGAAGGTTAAAGATGTTAAAAGCCATCTGTGAAAAAAATATGATTTATAAAATTTTTTAAAATCTCATTTAGATAGTTAAGGATTTGTGTATGTGCGTGTTTAAATCAATCGTTCTCTTGAAAGTAATATTTTCCAAAAGTTTAAAGGCTCTAGCGACTTTAATACATTTGCCCTTAAAAATGTAGATAATTTATTGCATCAAACTGGTATGAAGAAATAAGAATTCTGATTGTTGCAAGTTTGAAATCAATGTAGAGAAGAAAAACAGGTATAACTGTATCCAAACTACAAAAAAGCTATGTAAGTTATAAACTGGTCCACAAAGCATAGAAGGCTTTAAATAAATTTAAATGATAGGAAGCAGGATATATGTGCAAGTACATATTCTCTGTGTGTGGGGAGTTGTTCACAAGTAATATGGCAACCTAACTCACTGGAATAGAGAGGTCCTCAGAGTTCCAAACCTCAAGACTGGGAATCTTAATGCAGTTATCTGGCTCCAAGCCTGTACACAGAAACCATACCTAGAGGCTGTGGGAATCCTTGATTACTACTTTTAGAGCCTCCAACTTGACTGTTCTACACCTAGTACTTTCCTCAAAGATTTCAAATTGCAGCAATGCATGGAAAGTACATTTAGAAAGAACAACACAGGGAAAAGAAGCACTTAAAAACCAAGAACCATTTCCACTGATGAAAAAAGCAACAACAAAACGGCTGCAGCAAGATCTTTTCATCATTTATAAACATCAGACCCAAAATTTTACTGGGCTGTTTTCTAACCATATCAGTGCCAGATGAATTATTTCACAGTCACAAGATGCTGGAATGTCAACTGGATATATTAAAGGAAACTTGACTTTCCCCCCAGTGAATGTATATTATATTTAAAACAATAATGGTACATTGATCTAAGCATTCTGAGATAAAGAAAAATAATACTTTTCATAGAAATTAAGCAACTGCCTGGGCTAAGAGAAGTAACTCTTTAGTGTTAATACTGTCAGTTAGACAGTGACATTTATTGAACATTGCCTTGTGCACATTAGGAATTAGATTACCTGTATCCCAGCAATCTGGGATTTTGAATATTTGTTTTTTATGTTTTCTCACCAAACTGTTAGAAAAAGACAAAATGAGGGAATAGTTTTCAGGCTCCAAAAGGCATATGCCAGAAATAAATTTCAATTGTGTAGACAAGTAGTGCTTGATTTATTACTATGATTTTGTTGGGGTTCCATTTCTGGAACAATATTGTATTAATAAACTCTTGCAGTGAGACTACTGTGTGGTATTGTTCAAAAAGGAAAAAAAGGCAATGATAAAGGACTAAGGCTAATAAAATTTCATGAATACTTTAATAAAGGAAAACATAACCTGATTGAGATGTGCAAACTCTTACTTGATAATGAGGTGTTTAAGATTTTCACATTTAAGAAAACTTCTATTAGAGACTCTTTTAGAGTTTAATAGTCTATGAAACAATTATGTCTTTTTTAATAGTGAAGATTTCCCAAAGACCTTTGAAGTTCAAGCAAAACATACTAATTTGGCAAAAGAAAAGTGTTCAGTTTGAATTAATAATAAATATAATGCCTATTAAAACCTATTTTATTTTATTATGGAATTTTATTTAGAATCTAAAATATTAACTCTGTGGTTCTACAATTTAGTTTAAATGCTACAATGTAGGGCAACATAAACAAAAATTTATTGACTGTATTTCTTTTTTTCTTTATTTTTACATTATATGTGGCTACTCAGAGTAAAATTTTAAAAATCCACATTTCCTAATTGGAGAGATGAAGAGTAAGCCCAGTTTTGTCATAAACTTGTTTTGTGATTGCTGACAAGACTATTAATCCCTTAGTTTCCCTACCAAAAGAAATTATGAAGAGGTGCTAAACCACTGAACCCAATAAAAGAATATGGAAAAAGATAACAGATGTGACAGTGTTTTGGCATCTTTGGAAGACAAAAACTCAATGTGATACTAGAGGCATTTGTTATTTTTAAAAAGAAAGACAGCAGTTACTAGATATCCATGATTTTAGGAAGAAGCTATATTCTGTTATAGACGAACTAGTTATTTATAGACATTCAGTGGCATATCTTTTGATAAGGTGAATCATCACTATCTATTCTGTCTATACAAATTTGGCGTATTGCTTAAAGTTGTAATATATATGTAATTTAAGTTGTAAACTTTAACACTCACAAAAGATCATCAAAAGTTATTGCCAATTTTTAGACTTCTGGACTATAATTCCCTCTGTATGTTACTACTATCATTTTATAAAGTTTTAAAAAGTGTATGTGAATTTAGAAACTTGTATAAACTGGATTTAGACATGAAAGATGGCCTAAATGCTCTTGACAGATAATCTGAAGGTCATTCCAACCTGGCTAACTGGACTACTTTTAATTTATAGGCGCCAAGGGTTGAAAAGTACAGATAGAGTTCTGACTACCTTGCATCCCAGTTATGTTTTATCCAAAATAACTAGCTTTTTAGTCACTGGAAACAAAACACTTCTTATTTAACTTTAGAATCCTTGAAATCCTACTTTGAAAGCATTCTTATCATTTGAAGCTCAACCCATGATCCGTGTTTGCATAAGGATTTGGGTGTTACTTAAAAATGGCCATGCAATGAGCTGCTTCTCTGAAAATTAATATTCACTCCCTTCCCCCATCCTTAACCTGGGATCTTTAAAGAAGTAAGTC